CCAGCCCCAACTAGGAAAGGAAGGCAATCAAACAACTATTTTTATAAACCAGCAGCAGGCAATGTGGCGTCCACAGCCATCAATGTAAGATGGCTGTGGATGGCACGTTGCCTGTTGCTAGTTTATAAAAATAGTCACTTGATTGTCTTCCTTTCCTAGTTGGGGCTGGGGTGAGAGAACAGTATGCATGTATTTTTCTTTATTTTAGAATGCCTAAGGGGTAGTGCTCAGACTCCATTATCTCCACACAGAAAAAAAGCCCAAATTCTTTCTCCCTCCTCTGTCGAAGTAAGTGGTATTTTCAGCCTCAGTGGCCTGGTGTCCATTTCTTGAGAAATGGCATCCAACAACATCAACTGATGCATACTTGCAGTTTTTTAATACCTGAATATGTCATTGACAATCAGTCAGCATACTACCAAGCAAAAATATATGAATTTTCTATTGCCACAATGATTAACTCTCAAAGTAGTCCAGGCTTGTCAATCAAAAATGTGAAATCTGAATTCCTGATGTGGGTTCCTTGAAGTGAGCAACATTATACAAAGTACAGAAAAGGAGTAAGAGAGAGTTATAAGTTGGGATATCTTCAGGGGTGGGTCAGAATAGTCAATATGATAGTTGTGGTTGTACAGTTAAAGCCCTCTTTTTTACATGTACCACATATGCAACACATGTTAAAAGGGTCAGGATTTCAATCACACAGCATCCTCTTGACATTTTTGACCCTCTATGCTGGCTGGGGAATTCTGGGAGTTGAAGTCGACACATCTTAAAGTTGCTGAGGTTGAGAACACTGCTCCAGAAGATGTCCTGGTGATGAACACTATTTCTTCAAGGAGCCTTGGGGAGTATACTTTAGAAGTAATGTAAATTAGGGACGATGCATGCAAACTGATTTTTATTGATTCATAACATATATCAATAGCAGAAATCCTCTTTACTGCTCCACTTTAGAGCATAAGGGAAGACTGTTTTGCTAACATTTCTTTTGAACAACCATTTAATCTTAAAGTTTCCACTCATCATAAAAAGTGGGTTTCTCATTTGCAAAGTGTATCAATAAGAATGTTGGCCATTTGTTTGATGATGCTATACAGCAAGCAATTAGTATCACATTCTACATAAATTATTAGAGTATATAACCAGAGGAACATGAAAAATGAGAAAGTAACCTGTATAATGGGGTACAGTAAGAGGGAGACAAACACATTTTGTCCCAACATTGCAGGAATTTATTTTTTAAAATGCTAACCTTAGCAAAATGGAACACTATCAGGGCTTTTCCTAATGCACAGTCCTACACAAAAGGTTTAGGTTTCTTTCTAATTTTTCATTTATATCTGGTTGTTCTAAGCCAGATTTATGCAGTTCTACATCAGTAGTCAAATGAAGAAAGACTTGTATATTATTCAACACATCTGCTAAATCACAAATCAGTTGTTTTGTTTTTATAGCAATACAGTTTTCAGAATTCATATAATGTAAAATGGCAACCCTGCTCTGCTGAATTGGAGGACAAACCATGTAAAATTTCTTATTGCTTACTTATGTAAAACCCTTTGAGTTTTAAACGTTTTTGTTTTTGGATTAAAGTCTGCTTCCAGATTATATATCTTCTTTCCTCCAACTTTTGAAGAACATGCAACTGTCAGAGGCATTCAGTTGTGTTCAGACCAGTAGGGAGAACTAATTTGGGGGGAAAAAATGTCTGCAGAACATGGACTCATTGATGGATAGGTTCATCCACTCCCTGTTCTTGGTTGGGGGGCTGGAATAAATGCAGGGAAAGTGGAACATCCCCCCCTTCTGTCTTAATGCTAAAGTATCATCAGATTTCAAGTTCTCTGGAGAGGTTTCCTACTCTGTAGTCTCCAAAATGGCATGATAAGTGAATCTAAGAAAACAATAACATGTGCATGGACATGGACATGGACATGGACATACATAAAATGTACTGGTGTGTTTTAGTGGCTAAAAATTACATTGACTAGAGAAGTTCTACATTTTTCTTAGGAAAACCACTAGGCACCACTAAAACTCTGCTTTGGCCAGCAAAATGTCTTAAACTGATACATAGTGAAATCTGAACATGATGTCACATTCTCATTAATTATAAACATATAAAAGAAAATCAAGATTGCATGCCATACATATACTTACAGATGGACTGGATGGGATTAGGGACAGTTTTTTGGAAGGAAAGCTTATCCTATAGTCCACCATCTACTAGACTAGACTGTGCTAGGAGCATGTTTATGAAGATTCTCAGTCATCTAGGTGGAATTGTCTGGAGGTTGAGTGATGGCAACTGGACTTCTTTTCTTTTTGGTTAGAGATGTTTTGCTACTTGTCCAAGCAGCTTCTTCAGTCTAAAAAGTTGGTTAGGGGGGACCCCATTAAAAGTCTTCCAGGGTGGCTGTGTTTCTTACTAACATGATAGGCTCGTTGAAGAAACAATAGGAGTAATTGTCTGGAGGTTGAGTGATGGCAACTGGACTTCTTTTCTTTTTGGTTAGAGATGTTTTGCTACTTGTCCAAGCAGCTTCTTCAGTCTAAAAAGTTGGTTAGGGGGGACCCCATTAAAAGTCTTCCAGGGTGGCTGTGTTTCTTACTAACATGATAGGCTCGTTGAAGAAACAATAGGAGTATTTTCTGTATGCTAGGAGTATGCTAGGAGTAGTTTCTCAGAAGGGGTATGTAGGGCATTGACATCCATTGTCTCTGCCTCCTGTCCACAAAACAAGTAGTCACTATAGTCACTTCACCAATTTGCTTCAAATATTGCCACTTCTTTTTTCTAGCAAAAGATGTTGTGCACGCATTTCTCCAATGTTATTATCATCACAAGAAATAAATGTGTTTATATTGTTTCAGATGTTGGGTTCAATTCTCCCTGGCTACCATTTTTCCAGTATTTCCTGTAGAACTATTGTCTGCCTGCATAGCACAAATGAAAAGGGGTAGTTGTTTTGCTGTTAGAGCCATAGGTTACCCACAGCTTTTGAAATAAGCCTAAGTCCTGAAGAAAGCAAGAAACAGGAAGATAAGGTGGTTTATGATTGACATCAGATTCTTTTTCATCACTGAAATGTGTACTTGCAAAGAGATAACATATTTAAAGCATAAATAAGGATTTAAGATATTGTTTAAAAAATAGTCTCTCTGCCATTGAGTTATTTTTAAATATTGTTCCTTTATATTCTTTGCTACTATATAGCACTATCTATATTAACTGTGCAACAGTGACAATAGAAGTAACTGTCTGTGCTATCTAGTGCTCATATTTACTTAAAACAAGGTTACAGTAGGTCAAATTTGATTTTTCTAGAGATTGAATACACACATTGCACATCAATGGTTCAGTGTATAAAACACAATTGATGGACACCACATTTCCAGAAGGATATTGGCAAGTTAGAAAATGCTCAGAAAAGGGTGCAAAGGAACTTGAGGACATGTCCTTTGGGGACAGGCTGAAGAAACCTGGGATATTCAGTCTGAAGTAAAGACATAGGGGATGCATAATATCAGTATTCAAATACATAAAAGGATGTCAGAGGGAAGATGGTTAGGAACTATTTTCTGTTGCCACAGAAAACAGAAAAAAAATTGGATATAAACTGCAGCTACCTAGACTTCCTGAATAGTCTACTTACAGAAGTTGAGGATTCTCCATTTCTAGAGTTTTGTTTTGTTTTTGTTTTTAAAAAAAGCTGGATAGTCACTTCTCCAGGATTGTTTAATTGGTTTTCCAGCACATTGCAGAGGGTTGGATTAGATTATTTTTGTAACTCCACAGTTCTGTGATTCACACAACACATTAATCCAAAACCATATTATGACTTCACACAGTGTATAAACCCAGATTGTCAAGATACTAAAGAGAATTGTAGCAAGTATAATAAACCTTCAGAAATCTTACGGATGTCTGCTAATGCCATCTGTGCGAGTACTGAAAAGGAACTCTTTAACATTCTAACAGTTCATTACTTTCCACTCAAAATGGAAGAGTCTGCATTTTTCCTTCAAGATTTTTAAATTTAACTATAGGATTTTTAGGACAAGAAATATAGGAATAGGAATTCTCTTATTATACTTATTTTTACAGGCTTGCAATAAATAACACATTTAATATAGGATTATAATACATGTAAAGGTATAGTGGATAGACCAAATGATCCACGTCTACTTTGAGCTTAAA